GTCGTTGGCTTAAATTAAATTTTAATTTAATAAAACAAAATAATTTAAAATTTTAATTTTAATTTATTTTAAAAGTTAAATTAAATTGATATACACTTTTCCTGCACCTGATCTTTCGGGTCAAGTAGCTTTCGGGGCACCTTGAAAGTGCAGTTACCCCTCCCCCTAATGGGTTCGAAGTTCGAATCCCACCCTTGTCACTTTGTTCAAAAAAAAAAATTGATATACACTTTTCCCAACTCCAAAAACTTAAATTTATATTGTGGACTAATCTTCTTCCTATTCTTTTCCCTACTCCGATGTCCTCAATCTTTCTTTTTATTTTTTATTTTTTTCTGATGGTAAATCTCTTTTGGGTTAGCTCTTTCTCTTTTCTCTACCATGATCTCCTCAATCTCTCTTTCGGTCCTCTTCTTTTCCCTATTCAGATTCTTCTTTTTAGACGGCACAATTGGTTTACATTCCACACACAATTTCTAGCAATAGGCGACTTCTCCAGCTATCTCTCGGCAGCAAAATCTAGAATGAAAACTTTGGGGGAATGGGATTGAAAATGGATGGCAAAAAAATTTTCTTGACAACCATTTTATTAACGGTCACCTCAGGATTTTAAAGGGGGAAACCGTTAAATTCAAATTTTTTTGCTCAGTAATGAAAGTTGGGGAAAGAAGGGTAAAATCGTACCTTAAACATATTCATTCCAAAAGTTAAAAGTGATTAGTTGCTCTACTTAATCCTAATAAATTGAACTAAAACATCAAATATAATGGAACAGAGCCATAAACTGACTGAGTCCCTCATCCCTAACTTTTTTTGTTTTCACTAATATTTTAACAACTAAAAATTATATTGGATCCTCATTAATTTAAAATATAATCACATCATATCATAAAAAAATTTTCTCGGTACTTATTTTTTTATTTACAAAATTAAAATTAAAAATTTTATTTAAAAAAATTAAAAATTTTTACTTAAACCAACAAATTCACATATATTGATCCAGGGACAATACCTCTCTTCTTTCCTTTTCCAAAAATTGAAAATAATTGCCCTAGCCATGAGAACCGTGTGCATTATTAATGATATCGTCAACAGACTCAAGAACTTGACATGAAAATAAAGTCATACTTGTCTCCAATGATTTTGCATTCGGCTACTTCACAATCATTGGACCGACAAGCCCTACCCTAGGTCGTAGGTCCAGGCATCTATACAAAATGAAATTTTATGAATCCAGAATATTGCGAATTCGGACGCATTTGTGTACGTCCATACAGCAGGGATGCGATGGAATTGGGATTTTTAACTGGATTTGGTGAAG